CCGATTCCAGGGCCTGAACCCTAAACCCTAAACCCTAAACCCAAACCCCTAAACCCTAACCCTAAATCCTAAACCCTAACCCCCAAACCCGAAACCCTAAACCCAAACCCCTAAACCCTAAACCCTCTTGGATCGGGGCTCAGCATCCTGAAGAGCTTTGCCGCAAGAGGCTGCGCGGCCTGGTTGGCTTCTCCGTCGCTGAGATGATGCTAAGTGACCTACCTTTTTGGGGTTCCTTATGAGGGCTTCTATATATAGTTCCTTTAAGAGGTAGGTCTTTCGGGCCTCCCCCCCTACTGGTATCTTTGCTGCTTCGAAGACAAGATCTCGCAAGATTTTGGGCTCTGTGTAGACCCGAAATCGCGACAGCGGGCCTGGCTGCCTCATTCTGGAAGCTGGGTTTGCACCACCATCGGAAGACATGAAATCTGAAAGGTCACTCTCGTAGAACAGAGGTCTCGTCGATCCGACCTACAGACTTCACGTGCTCCTTCTGCTGAGTTCGCCACGGCGAGGTTGCAGCAGCTGATGCAGCGGGACGGGACCTCACTGTGTGGGAGGCTGTCGACGCACGGTCACAGCGGTCGGTGCTGTCCGTAGCATTGCAAAGGACTCCGGGGTCCCCACGTGCAGAGTCAATGAAGAAAGCACGCCGAGAGGCTATCTGCAGAAATCTTGGACTTCTGATGCATGCAACGCGGGATGCCCTAGTTGGGAAGTCTTTTTCCTGAGCAGGTCTTTTCTGACATTTGGTTGCAGGAGTGCGTAAACACCGTTCGTGCTCGGCGGATGTCCAGATACAATACGTACAGTTTGTAGGGCCTTCACCAACTTATCTACATAGACAGCACAGGACACGTCACAATGCGTCACATGACATACTTCTGAGCTCTCAGATCGCGGCAGCCATCAGGAATACCCCGAGGAGTCCATTCAGACGATCGCCTGAGTTTTCGGCGTAAAACCCCTCAGACCCGGCTCAGACCTTAAACCCTAGCCCTAACCTTAAACCCTACACCCCTAAGCCCTAACCTTATAAACCCTAAACCTCCCTCAACATCGAGCACGCACGCACCGAGCTCGCACCCTAAACCATCCTAGGCCCGCTCATGCCCGGCCCTGTCACCTGTCTCCTCCACCCCTCCACTCCGCCCCTCCACCCCACATCCGCAGTGCAGTTGACATCCGCGTTGCAGTTAACATCCGCCGTACGGGGAGACACGATTACGTCACCATCGCAAGCTGTTGGCTGTGAGCAACTTACCTGCAAAGAAGTTTGGAAACACTCCTCCACCCCTCCACACCCCTCCACTCCTCACCGCTCCACCCTCCACTCCTCCACTCCCCTCCCCTCCACTCCGCCACTCCTCCACCCCTCCACCCTCCACCCCTCTCTCCTCCGCTCCTCCACCCCTCCGGAAAGCGGCTGCTCGCTGTAAGCAACTTACCAGCGAAGAGGAAGACACGACTACGTTACAAGAGGTTGGGAAACACGACTCGAGCTGTCGATGTCGGCTCGAGCCGCATGCTCGATGTGATGCCCTGCCCTCTGCCCTACCCTCCCGTTGCCCTTCCCCTGCCGTTGACCCTTGTGCTCTGCCCTTGCCCTTGCCCTCCCCTGCCGCCCTGCCCTGCCCTGCCTGCCTGTAAGCCACTTGCAGCCTATATTCGGGGGTTTCAAACGTATTCGGGTGTTTCCAGCTTTCTGACATGCATCATACAAATTCATGGCTCGATGTCTGCATGTGATCTTTGGCTTCTTGCAGGCCTTCAACGCTCGGCTGTGCCTTTCCCGATCTGTGCTAGGTCCCCGGGCCGTGGCCACCACAGAAGCCCATAGCCGAGCAGCGGTAGATCAGCAGCCGAGGCATTGGCCCTGGCGCCGAACACCGTCCCGTAGACAGCAGGGGTGCAGCTGGGGGGCCTCCCGCACCCAAGGTCGCTTGTTCCAGGAGAGTCTTCCTTGCTGCACGGTGGAAGTCAAGGTAATCCTGGCAAGACTTTTCAGAGGAAATGAGCCACCAAAACGGAATCTTTCGTTGTCGTCCTTCAAGACCGAAACCAGCGCCGGGCAAGGCCTGGAGACGTGACTCTCGAGCGTTAACAGTCGTTGAAAATGTCGTCGTCATGCTCCCAGCCCAGTGTCCACCTATGCCTCTGCCCCTGTGGTATTCCTACATTATCCTACGTCGACGTCCCGCCACAAAGCCCCTAAACCCCCCAACCCTCAAACCCAAAACCTTAAACCGCCAGGCCTAAATCCCAGCAGCCTCACCCATAGCCCACGACCCTAAACCACCGCATCAAAAGCGGAGCCCCTGGCGCCGTGTCCGGAGATTCTCGAAGGGCCAGGCCGTAGCCACGCCCAGCGGCGGTGCGGACCTGCCAGCCCCAACAATAGTCTTCGCACAAGCATCTCGAGCACCTATTAGGGGGGGCTTGAGTTTTCGTGTGGTTGGGGTTTCGGGTTGAGGGCTTTTCGGGTTTAGGGTTTGGGACCTATGGTTGAGGGTTGAAGACTCAGGACCTGGGGTTAAGGGTTTTGGCTTTAGGGTATCAGAAGAATCTGACACCACACTTCAGAGCGAGGGGACGGGGTCGTGATTGCCGCAGCCGGGCTTCTTCTCGAAGCAGAACATGCACTATGGCTCACTATGGCGTCTCCAAAGTTTCTGTCCCGCCAAACTGCATCCCAGGTGCGCCTTAAACCCTAAACCGTGAACCTTTCAGACCAGGCCGTCTACCGTCTCGCCTGGCTCGGCCAAGACGATGGTCGTGCGGGGTTCAAGTGCTGCGGCCACACCTGAAAACCCGAGGCAGAAGGGAAGATACGTGCCCGCGTGAGGGCTTTGGGACACAAGCCACTCTGGCAGTTACTCTGTTAGGCTCCTAGGGAGAGTTCCCCCATGCCACACTGCGAGCCTTCCAACTCCAAGCTCTAAGTTTGTGAATGACCCGACATATTGCCCAGGCAATGCAACGCCCAAGGCATCCTGAAACGCACAGCTGTGGAACTTTGTGACACTTACAGTTCTTTCCCGGCGCGGTACCTTCGTGCCTGTGACATGCCAGCTCGTCTTCACCAACTGCACCGCACATTCGGTTCGAGGCCCGTGCCACTTTGACGGACGGACTGCGAATCAGCTTTGCCAGCAGCATCGCCTGGCAACGAAAAAACAACCAACAAGCCCCTGATGAGTCGGCGATGTAGCGCCTTGATCCCGAGTTTCTCAAGTTCCAAAAGAAGCTACACTATAAAAGTGCAAAAGCCTTAGGATGCTTTGTACCTGGAGCCCTCCATGCTCGAGCCGGCGTGGCAGAGCCCTGGAGCGCTGCCGCGTCCCCGCCGCTGGGAACTTGGAAAGACGCCACAACCTGAGAGGAAGCTCCGTGCCACTCTCCGTGCCCAGAGCTCCGTCGAAACCACCTTGTTGCGGATGCCGGACTGCTCTCGTGTCTTAGACACTGAGATCTCTGTGCAAGCTCCGGGTGTGCGCCATATTAACGGGAGGGTGCTGGAACTTAGAACATCACAACCTGCCATGATGGGAGTTCACAAATCTTGAAGGTGAAGCGACAGAAGGGGCCGCACAGCCGGTGTAAGAGGATGGAACAGTGCACAGCTACGAATTTGAATCGAATAGCGGGAACTTGTCGGCCCGTTGGAACGAAAGACAAAAACAACACGTGTGTCCGAATCAGGATGAACCTCTCGGATCCAGGACCTCGCTTGAAACTGCTTGAAGCAGAGGGAAAGGACATTAGGCAGGCGCTGTAAATACGAATCAGCTTGCGAGCTGCGAACATCCCAAGCGTACTGCTACAAAAGACTAAATCGCCAGGGACGAGCTTCGCGGCTCACCAACCTGTTCATGCCCCTCAGACCGGTCAGGCTTCGCCATCTTCATTAAAAAAACTGTTGGACGTTACGATTCCTATGCTACCGGTTACCGCCTCCCTCTCCAGAGTGCGGCGACGAGGTGGATCTTGCGCGTTATGGTCCAGACACAGGCCCTCGGGTGGAGCACGATCTACACATTGGGCAAACACCGGCGGACGCTTGAGTCACGAACCACCTCATAACACATTCCTCGTGGAAGACATGTCCGCAGGGCAACAATGCTACAAGGTCGCTATTGGCGAAGTCGTCCAAGCAGCAGGCACAAGTTTTCTGCGGTGTGACGTGAGGCTTCTCTGGTATGTTGACTCTTTTGAGCACAGTTTTCACTGGAGGGCTCGAGGAATTGGAGGGCCTCAACTGAAAGAGATGGAATACGGGCTGGGCATCATGAACCGCCAGGAACTTCATCGAAGACCAGATCTGATTGTAAGGAGCAAGACAGCCAAAGCCACGGCCATAGCTTCGATCTGCTTCACCATCACTGGCGACCATCAAGCGACAGGATAGGCAAAGAAAACATGTCAGACTGAGCATCGTCACCAGGAGCTCTTGCATGAATGGCAGTCCCGGTATGGCGATGTTCATGGCAACGATTACCAGGCACATAACGGCCCAGCCACTCGTCAAGCAGCAGAGCACGCACGTGGCAAGATTTCGCTCCACCTCGGACACGGCCATCACGAACAAAGCAAGAGGCCGCGAAGCCTTCGCTCATGCAATCTACGTGTGAAGTTGAGAAGTCGCCCTTGATGTGCTGCCATGAATCTTCCTCTAAGGACCTACGAGCTTGAATCGCTTTACTCCAGCATGTCATGGCATGTTCTTCTGTACTGCAGCCACCCCCACCCGCTACAAGCCTCGGGTATCCCCTCCAGGGCCAAAGGCTACACGAACAGACAGGAGTGCTGGCTCCCTGCAGTCCTACACCATCTTTCAGTTGAGCACAAGATCCCATTTCCAGCAATCCGTCCAACAGTCAACCTTTTGGGAATCTCAGGTCAGGAACTCCCGGCACTGTGTGCTGCTCCGCGCTGCCCTTCTTGCGCAACTAGCATCGAAATCCAAAAAGAGCCCTTCAAAGCCAAGACCTGCTCCTTGAAACCACCAGAACCATGAGCACCCGTGTGGAGCTTTCATCTTCCACGCCGAAGTGCAGGTTTGGGCTCCGGGCCCTGGGCCCATCGTCTGCCGCCCTGGAAAAATCAGGCAAGTGTGCTTTTTCTGTATCGCCTGAAACGCGTGTGTCATGTCTTGAAACCAGGCAAGCCAAATTTCTCTGCACCAGCGGCACAGGCATGGAAGAAAGCTCCGCCACAAAACCGTCAATCTGCAGACGACACAGACGCGATCCGGATTTCTGCTTCTCACGGTATGACTCCAGGTGCAGCTTATCGCACTGCCTACAAGTCAGTACCATGAGCTCGAAATGCTAGCACAGCTTTGGACCCTGGTGATAACTGCGACAGTTCGTACTCAGAGGCCGTTGGCAAAGCCGCTGCAAGCAACTCGACCAGCAACTGAAGCCCGACGCCGATAAGCGGGGCCTCCCCGCATAGAACAAGGCAAGTTCTTCTGCGTTGAAGAGGGCGAAACGACGCCAGATGAGTCGCACCTAGTTGACACTGCGGATGCTGGCGAAAAACCGTGCGCATGCTCCAGACGGTGCAAAAACATTCGCAATCAGAGCCGGCTGCAATCGCAGAGCTCCCCAGAGTCGTATCATGCGGGTCCACACTTCCCTTCCAGAAATGTCACGGTAACGCGTAGCATCCGTAGCGGTTTCTATCACGGGGAGGCATGCTTGTGGGCAGCCCTGACCTCGCCGTGAAAGTGCAGAAGGAGCTATGAAGATCTGCTAGTACCGGCTGCTGCTTGTGCCGAGGACGGTGCCCGATCATGGCCAGTGATGAGCCGGGAGAGATAGGACGCCTCAGCAGAGCCCAAACCCACAACACGGCTGTCACAGTGCTTTCTCGCATTTATATTTATGATTTATGCTCATGCATGACATCGAAGCCGCAGTTACCGGTGTCCAGTAGGGGACGCCTCAGAAAGTGGACGAAAGCTTGCGGTGGGCTTGTTAGGAAGCACCGCCCCATGGGCAACGCTGGCCGGCCTGGTCTGGGTTGGCGGTGACGATGACCTCAGAACTCCGATTCCGAGCTCCGACTGAAACGACAGACCTTTGCAAACTGCCTTAGTCACTTCGTCCTTTCTCCAATCTGCCTGAGGCCTTGACAATCTTCACCGACTCACCTGATGGAAGTCAGTTGAATGTGGGCTCAGTGGGCTCCATCTACGAGTTCAATTTTTGCCTTGAGCCATCTTGTCCAGGAGCGGGTTCAGCGCCGAGACCTGACTCGCAGCGGTCCGAAGAATGAACAGCCTTGCAGTCCCGAGAGGCTTGACTGAGCCTTGAACGTGCTTGAGCAAAGCATCTTTACCTTGCAAAGGCCAACGAAGTGAAGGGATCGCAAAGGGAAGTGAAGTTAGTGTTGGGTAGCTAAGCAGGCACACCTCCCAAAAGAGTCTGCGCTCAAACCGAAGGAGGTCTTCATGCTTGGTGCCGCACTCAATGTTGCCTTATCATTGGCGAAATCAAAGCCTGGAAAGACAGGGAATCCATGCACCAGGCTCAGGCTGCATCAGATGTTGCCAGCACCAGCTGCGCAGGCAACGTGCGCACAGGCTGTAAGCCGGCGACGTAGATTTGTTCCAGGATTCGGCATCGCCACGAGGAGAGTCACCTAGCAAGACAGTCGGGCAAGCCGGCAATGCCGGTTTCCCACCTTGCTCCACCTCGGGTCCCTCGTCATCTGTCTCCGCACCTCGGAATCTAAAAGTCTGGAGACCACATTCTAAATCTCGAACCTGTCCCGCCAGGAGGCTGGGCGGCAACCTCGCCGGCAGCAGCGGGGGCGGCGCTACAGCAGGCACTCCCTGAGATTGAACAGACTCACGGAGGGCGCTGAAGAATACTGTCCATGTCTGTCCATGACTTGCTGCAACCGGCAATCTAAAGCTGCGGCCTAGCAGAACTTGTGTCGGACATGCACATGCAAACACGGACCACGCTGAGATGGCAACGCAAAGAAGAAACTGCGCATTGCTTTCCGGCTGTAGTGCCTTTGTCAAGAAGATGATGCAAAGGCTTAACAAGGATCTTCCTTACACATCTGCGTGTTCAGGGCCCTGTCTCCTTCGCTCTGGGCTCCTGACATGCTGGTAGGTCAACATCAATCCCGTCACCTCGAAAACAGAAACCCCACGCACTCACCGAGGTGCCGCGAAGATCCCCAGCCCCGAGCCATCCCTTGAGGCCCCTGCTTCGGACATGAGGGCCTCTGCCAGCCTCGGCTTGTGGGAGCTCCCTTTCTAGGGTCCTCTTTGTAGGGGCCTCTTTGTAGGGGGAACCCTCTTTGGGCCCCCGGGCTCCGTGGAGACGGCCAAAAGCCCGTCCACGTACCGCTGCCAGGTGTCCCGAAAGCCTGCAGAGAGACCAACAAAAAGGTCACTAGTTACCCCCCTTGTTATTAAAAGCACCCCCCCTTGTATGAGAATAAGAAACACATTTGGGGCGAATCCAACCGAAATCATCCCTGCCCTTTCAAACCTATTCTGAATCCGGGGAGGCTTTCGAGGCTCGCTCCAAATGCTCCAAGAGCAAGAGCAGTAGTTAGAGCAGGAGCAGGAGCAAGAGCAAAAGCGGGAGCATCAGCAAGAGCAAAGCAAAAGTCAGAGTAGGAGCAAGAGTAAGAGCAAGAGCAAGAGCAGAAGCGGGAGCAACAGCAAGAGCAGGATGAGCAGGAGCAGGCGCAAGAGACTCAGCAGAAGCAGGAGCAAGCGCCAGAGGACCCCCCAAAGGTGGCAGTAGAGATAAAAAGATCACCTAACAATAAAAACACTTTCCTAATGTCTATTGGGATGGGGGCGGGTCCGCTCCCCCTTTAATGTTAGTCGGAAAAAATGACGAAGAGACTTAACAGGGCAGACTCGCCGCCTCCCACTCCGTCTCGCTGTTGCCAGGGCCGTATGCTCACGCGATGCCTCGGATTTTTGCAAAGTTGCAAAACTAAGCAAAAGCACGCCAAATCAAAAGCAGTGGGATGTTGAAGCCTAAAGCTTGACCAAACCGTCACACCTGGAACTCCTAGGCCTCAACCAGTCAGAAGCTTGGCTTGCTGGCGCCGTCGGAGAGGGGATGCCGCGACGTTGTGCCTGGTCGAAGCTCATCAGGATGCTCTCAGAGCACAAGGCGATGTCAAGGTGCTGATGCATAAAGGGGCCGAGCTTGAGGAGTGACCCGGCGTCGTTCTAGTCTTTGGGATTCGAGTAGCGACCGGCTCCGGCTTCCGAAGATGCGCGCGTCTGACGGTGGCATCTGCAAGGTTTAGCGTGCAGTCTCGTGCTGCGAGCTGCTGGATATCTCACTCCGGCTTCCCGCCTCGAGAAAACACGCAACGAGAGACACAAGAAGCCTATGAGAAAGCCGAAACACAGAGAAGATGCCCACGCAAAGGTATCACGTCTCCAAAAATAGAGACGTGCGATTCAGCGCATGCTGTGCCTCGATGAAGTCCATGACACAGGCTTCAACGCCCACCTGAAAAAAGGCGGCTTGAATGCGATCGCTACGATGCCAAGCCACTTGGAGGGTCGTGAGCGCTCACCAGGCCCAAGTGACATCCAGTGACCAAGCAGCCTAGGTTTGGGGACCAACTTGGCACATGCCATTGGCCTGTCGCATCTGCCCGGCCACAGCGGCATCGTGAGCACGCAGCTCCTAAGCAGATGCGCTGGAGTCAGACGCTGTCGCTCCTTCTTAGGAAATGCGCGACAACCAAGTTTCTGAACAGGAAGATGTTAGCTGCCATTCCCAGCACACAATGTCCTGCCTGGTAGACCTTCTGCATCAGCGCAGAGAGGCGGCGCCACTCGTCTGAGATGGCTGCCTGTACCAAGTCGAATGCATTGATCCCTCTGGTGGCAGTCGTAGCCTCTGCCGATCGGCTGGCCACCTTTGTGCCACTGGCTTCTCAGGTCCAGTTTCCCCTGCAACCCTCGGTTCAACAGGAAGTCTGACCAAAATCCCGGTGCACCTCAGCCTCCACTAGCAGTCCCTCGGCTCCTTCGCCTGAGCAGTGGTTGAACTGGAGCAAACGTCGTTGGCACAGACAGTACGCGACTGCGTTCGGACGTGCAGATGCAACCGAGACATCCCTGCTGTGATGAGGCTTACAGTCATGCAAGAGCCAGGGGGGGGGGGGGCATGTTGAGAAAAAGTGGCCGTGGCCTCCTGTCAACCCTAGACAGACTTTCCACCTGAAAGGTTCAAAACCCTCCAACATCCTGCCAACATCAACCCTGCCTTCTGCACTGCCTCGGCAGGCCGCGCAAAGCAGGTGACTGGCACGGCAGGCATGGGCTGAGCTCTAAGCCATGAAATTACTTGACTGGCCCCTTAACTTCGATAGCCAAACCTCAGAAACCTGCCTGAAACGATGAAGGTGTCTCTCGAAGCCTTGTACATCTTGAGACTGCGTGCCTCCGTAACCAAATTCCTTACGTACAGAACCTGGGCCAACAACCCTACATCAAAGGCCGTGCCCACTCCTGAACCGCCGAAACCAGAATGCAAACGAGCACAGAGCCTCACCGTCCCTTGAAGCAGGCTCAAGATTTCCTCCAGTGCGACTTGAAAGTTAAAGTGGGGGGTGCACTTGTATCTCATGCATTCTTCCAGAACTCATCGAAACGTGGACTGACATGCCACAGAAGAACTTGAACTTGCGCGTGATACTCTGGCTGATATCTGGTAATAGCAGCCCGTCATCATCTCTTCATAAAAGAATGCCCTGACCTACGCAGATATGTGCTCGATACCACTGTGTTTCGTTCTGTACCCATGGCATTGCCCCAAGCCGTCATCTTTTGGTGGCATACAGTCACTGTGCGCACAGAAAGAAACTGAGAGTTGAGAGGCTGAGCAATAGATCCAACCGGTTGCGCTTGGTAGCGCCAGAGCGTGCGAAAGCCCTGCTGTATCTCGGACGCGGTCGGTAGATTGGGTGGGGATTAGTCAGTCGCAGAAGTGGGCCAATGTCGCGCTGCACAAGGAGGGGCAAAGCTTCGGCAAGGCGACTGCGGGAACCCTACGGGCATACCAGGTGACGTAACCTTTGGTGAAAAACGTTGAAGAACTCGTGCTTCCCAAGCCAACATCACCTTTTGAAGATGTGTCAACACACATGTTGCCTTATGCAGGAATCCCTTTAGCTCGTTCATGATTCGTCTGAGCTTCATGGAATCAGTCATCGTGTCCCCGCCTGTGAGATCTGTTGGCACTCCACAAGCTTCTTCAGCCGCGCACTCAGCATGGCCTGTCACGACGGGGGACTTCCGATGAGCTCAGGTAAGCTTAAGAGCCTTCCGGTTTGATCTGGTTTCAGCCTTTGAACTCTAAGTTCAAGGGAAGTGTTGAGGCCCTTTAGGCCTTTAGGCCCAAGCCCAAGCCCAAGCCCCCATACTTCGATCTCCTGACCTCAACCTATCACATCTCCACCTCGGGGGCATCCCCGCAGGGATGCTTTTGGAGTGAAGCCGCCGAATATTGATCCAGAAACCTCGGGAGCGGCTGCGAGCGGTTGCAGCTTAGCCCCCGAGCTCGCGGACATTTCCGGCAACTTCTGCTACTTGGTGCCTGGCTCTTGCCGATCAGCTAGGTGCCGCATCCCGAAGCTGATGCTGTGCCTGTTGCTGCGTGATGCGAAGTCAATCGGCATCTAGAGCGACCAACTACAGGGCGGTGCTCCGAACAACTGACACATCAGCCACGACTACCGAATGCTGAGTGACACCATGCCCTGGTCGTCGAACGCTCCACTCATGCCGAGATGCTCCAGATGTTCCATCACAGCTGCGACGTCCTGGCAGTTCTTGGACAGTGACCCCAACAGATACTGAAACAAACACCCCTTGCACAGCCCACATGTGCTGCAACACGGCCAGGACCCCTGCGGGAAGCAGCGACGGATGCTGAATTAATGTGAGAACAGTTCCGGCATCTTGGAGGCTTCACCTTGAGCCCTGCTGACCCTCTGCGAAAGCCTCCGCTTCGCAGCAGGTCGCCCCGCGGCCGAAAGCTCGGCTGTCGCAGGGAATATCTGCCTCGACAGTCCAGAAACTTAGCGATGACAGGTATTGTATCGTTCCTTGGCCAAAAGAGATACGACATCTCTGAAAACGGGTTCTGCCGACTCAGACAGTTTTCTCCGTTTCCTAACATCCGAAAGCGCCTCGTTGGGTTGAAAGGGCTTATCGCCACGTCGTGCACCCCTCTTCTGTCTCGGCTGCAACAAAGAGAAATGCCAAAGCATCAACTCTACCAGTCCAAGCCAAGGTGGTGAGTGAACCCGAACGCGATTGAAACTCAAGCAGGCAGCAGGTGACCAGCCTGAGCCACACCACCCTTGCTGGTGTCCTGCAGTTTCGGGGATACTGGGGCGGCTTCGCTTTCGGCACCAACCTGGACTGCAACCGACTGCAACCAACCAAACAACGGTCCGGCATCGCCAAACGGAAGGAGGCATTCCGGCAGTAGAGATCCTGCTGGCAAGGCAGGCAAGGCAGGCCGGCACTGTTCAAAGTCCCATGCCGCTTGCCTGCGGGAGCAGAGGAAGCGGCTGTGCCAACCTGCGGGTACTGGAGGTGCCAACTGCGCACGCTGACTTGACAATGTCTGGAGCAGATCATATCCCTCTCTTCACATCTCTGTGCTCGCCACTCCGTCCAAGAGGCAATCTGCCCATGTCACCGCTTTCTTGCAAGACTGTAACTCACACCCACGCTGGACCTGGCCAGCCACCACCCGAGCAGGAGTCGCGGCATGGCGCTGTCCAAATCGATTCAGGGGGTTCTGCGCTCTGTCAACAGTTGCAGACACGTCAATGTGATGCGCATCTGGGCATGAAGGTTCTGGATCGAGCTCTCCATGGCTCTTTCGCTTAGTGCTGGCACAGAAGCGCCACTGAAGTCCAAGGTCCTAGGTTGCCTTGGGACGATTCTTGTTGCTAAGCTACTGCATGTCAAGTAGCATAGGCTGACGCATGTTTGATGGCTGTGGCACCAATCCGCATCAGACAAGGATATGTTCAAACAGATTCGGGCATTGCTGCATGCTGCTCTCTTCTGCGAGCCAGTAGGGATGCTAAACAGATATTGGCTCAGTGCTGGCGCTTGTCATCGACCCACACGCTTTGCAATGCGACGGAGGGATGATGCCGGCAGCAAGTGCCGCAACGACTTCGTGGAGGGAGGCGCTTTTCCGTCGTGCTCCCATCCCGCTATCAAACCGGAAGTCGTGCGAAACGATGCGACCGGCACAGATGTTATTCGCTTGTATCAGTGCATCCCACTTAATCCTCGACGAGGCTTATCCTTCCAACCGGGTCTCCTCTTGCACCTGCAAGACATAATCAGACATGGCACTGCTAGGGCTTGGTCTATGTGCAAGGGACACGTGACGGTAGATAGGGAGCGGAGCGTCACCGCCGGCGCCGACGGGATCGCGACCTATACCGGTACCGTGCTTCAAAATGTCCAATTGGGGGGCTTTGGAGGTCCAACCACAAAAGGACAGCATGTCAAGGAGTTGGGGCTTCCCTTAGTTCTCTCCACCCTCCAGACAAGGTCCGTCGGCCTGCTTCGGCTGCTGGCCGAGTCATGCGCATCATGGCTCCCACGGGGGCCTGACTGCACGTCTTTTTGATGCAATGGATGTCGAGCCTATAACGAAGTAGGAGTGCAGTAGGAATGTAGTCGGATGTCTTCTTAGCACTGGCGCGCAGTTGAATGCAGCTGCAAAGGGAGATGAGAGATCACAGGAGTGCCATGGCAGGAAGAAAGGTGCATCCCCATCCCCACCTTCTGCGCAACCAACCTGAACTTGACAGGTTTCGAGAGAGGCGGAGCCTGCGTAGTGGAGGCAGGTCAGCCGCAAGGAGCTTTTCGTTTGCCTGGCTGCGGCGAACTTGGGTAGTATAATTCTGTTCAAAGTCCGGAGGTGTTGCAGATGCCGCTGCACTTACAACAGGTAGAACGTGTCGAGACTTCGCCGTAGCCTCTGTGCCTGTGCGGATCTGCTGTCACTTCGCAATGAACCCTTGAACTGAGGAAATCTCCCGAGAGGGCGCGTCGCAGCCTTGCCAGCTCCAGGAGCATCTCCTCGGCTGGCTCTGACCTTGGCGCCGGCAGTGACTGGGGGGAACTTCAACTTCCCGAGCGTCCTTGTGCCCTTGAATCCGCATCAGGGCCGCGGCACGCCATTCACGCATACGATGCGGTCGTGCTCTTGTATCGCTTGCTGTGGGCTTGCCTGCGTGCAAGATGGAAAGAAAATCACAGTTAGACAAATGTAATTATGCTAACGAGTGTGCCAATTGCCAACACAGCAGATACACCAACAGTTTGGTTCCAAAGCTTCGACGTTCGTGTAAGCCGGGCCTCTTGTCTTCAACTAAAGCTTTGAAAGAGAGCCAAAGGCGTGGCAGGCTGAGCAGGTCACCTTGTTCCAGTCATCGACCGCACCTGCAGCAAATCCACGAGCATGACTGTCGAGTATGTCATGAAGGCGTCAACCCTTTCTTGGTGTCAAGCAGAAAGCAAACGGCCAACACTGGGGAAGCTTACTGCCCCATACAGCCCGGCCTCTAGCGATTGTGTCAATCCACGGTTTCAAGGACCGCGCAGGCACGTAGTTTGCCAGAACCCCAAGTTTCCTGCCCGGCCGCGTGTTCAGCTCATGACCGCACAAAGGTGTCCCGAAGCTCCGAAGATCTAGGCACAGACCCGGTCCCAGGCTGCTTGAGGACCACAGTCCGCTGCTGCGGCCGCTGAAATCGCAGCGTTGCCTCCGCGGATTGCTTTACTTCCTGGTGTGTTATGCAGCTGGGTGGGACTGTAGATTGGGGTGCTGTCATTCGGGCGATTCGGGTTGTTCATGATGCAAGCGCTCAAGCTCCAAAGAGCCGAAAGCCGAGCTCCTCCCTTGAAAGCTCTCGGCGCTGGCCTCGGAGCTGCTGTGCATGGCTTTCTCCTTATCAAAGCTGAGCCACGTCTGTCCAAACTTTCGAATCGAGCAGAGCTAGGCAGCTAGGCACTGCATAGTAGGTAGATGCATGCGGGCGGCAACTGCATCCCGCGCCCTGGTCCCATTCACCTCAATGAGGCGGTCGAAGACCTGCAAGGAACGGACGGACTGCTGCGAAAGGCTTCCAGGCTGCTCTGCACTTCCCAGCCGGCCTGAATGGGATGTTCTGGCAGCGACCTCGGCATGGATGACAAGCATCCATGGGCAGCTGCATCCAAAGGGAGGAGAGGACGAAGGCTCTCACTTGTTCCACTTACTCACGGCCGGAGTGATCTCCTTGATGATCAAGAAGTCCTTCTTGGGCGGCGGCGCCCAACAATTTCGCTTTTCAGACGAGCAATGTCCTCGTCGGAGGTGTCCAGGGACAGGTCCAGCTTGCGCAAGGTGACGGAGAAGTAACCTGACTCCTCGGAGCAATGGTCGCTAGGAGGCGCGGTACTCGCCTGATACCGCCCTCCCTGCCCTCCAGCAAACACAGCGAACATACCACCAACATCTCGCCTCCTCTACAGCTGGCGCGATGGGAGACCTCGCAGCCCAGAACTGTTGCATTCCCTCACACGCCTTTAGTGATGGGTGATGATGAACTGGTGATAGATGATCTCTGAAGCAGTAATCTCTAGACTCCTATCACCGATCTGGTCCGTTTCAGCATGCTGTCCACTTGACTATCCACTCCAACCTCTTCGAAACGAATTCAAAAGGTGGCGGCAGAGTCTGCGCCTCTCATCCTCCTCGCCCCGGTCCTCAGAGACTCTACTGCTCGGAGGAATCTCGTGCTTCGAGCGGACTCCTTGTTGCAGCTTCCGACCCGAAACATGCCTCGTGCTTCGGGATTCTTCATGGAGCAACCCAGAGAATTGCTCAACCACGTGCTGCCATGATGCGTTTCTCTATCTTTCACTACGGCTTGGCCTTTTTTGAACCCAGCTGCCCCTCTTGCCTAGTCAGTCCCTTTTCAACTTTGGCAATCGAAGCTCCAACTTCAACAAACTCGACTGCCCTTTCACGCCAGTGCCCCGCTGCGAAGCTTTCCGGGGCCCGGGCTCGTCCGCTACCTTGCAAAGGGCGAGATCGCCCTACAACTTCGATCTTTGTGCAGCTTGCTGTTTCGTCGAACTTGGGCTTCCAGGTTGTCCGGATTCGGGATTGGCCGGATCCGGCGCTTTGGAGATTTGTTAAAAAGGCCACTTCGTGCCCTGTGCTATAGCAGATACCATCCTGCAGCTCATGAAAGGCTGCAGGTGCAAATGCTGGAATCGCCAACAGTGCCACCCAAAGACTCTCAAAGCTGCTAAGCATGCAGGGACCAAGGGCGACGGGCAGAAGCCTCCTATGACCCATGTCTCGCAGATCTAAAGCTATCATTGCAGAGCCGAAGTCCTTGAGTTTTGACCCACGAGGCCCGAGACCCAAGCCGTTGCTTTGCGCACCATTGATCCGTGCCTGGATAGAGCTTCGTCTTCGTGATGCGGAGTGCTCAAGAGCTCTTGGCACGGTGAAGGCCATAGCGCAGTCTAAGTGCAGATTACGCACTTCGCTTCTCATCGAAACTCTTGATCGCGTAGGACTGTTCTTCAAAGCAGCCGGCAGCACAGAGTACTGGCACCGATGAGCACTTGCAATCACCGCAATGATGGCAACGAGGTTACTGTATATACTTTATCATCTCTGTCGGTGTCCAGCCTCGAGAAACTCTTCCAGATTCTCCTTGGTTGCCTCGTCCAGTGCGGCAACGCGCGCCTGGCGCCACGCCCATTCTCAAAATACTCTCTTGAGCGACATGCAGTACTTCCGAGAATATGGATCCCGGATGTTTCAAGACTTAGCTTTGAGGTGCCTCAATCTGGGGATCCGTACTACAAGGCCCCTGTCCAATCCTCAGCCAAGCGGCTGCCCGCTCGCCCGGCGACAGGGCGGTAAGGCGATCCCAGAGTGCTGCAATGTCAGGACCTGTTCAGGCAACCAGGATGATGGCGGGAAGTAGTCCCGATTATAGGCTTTGGGGTTTCATGCTTTAGGGTTTTGCGGAGGTCTGCGACGACCTGATGGCTTTGGGAAAATCTCGCAGTCCGGCCGCTTTTCAGGAATTGGCAAAGGAGTTTGACTTCTGCTTGAATCTTTCAAGTTACCTGTCAACGTGGTGTTTGAAAATGCTCGCCCATTCGTCGATCAGACCTGCACTTGCATTATCAGTCAGTTTCTGGGCAACCGGCCTCGGGCATCGTCCCGTGATCTGCTGGCATCCTTCGACAATCACCACGCTTGTCATCAGACATGTGCTGCTCAAGCTCTGACATAGCTAATGCCATGGCCGGGGCCGTGCTACTAGCCAAGTGGTAGGGAACTTAGACTTGACTTAACCACTAAATTCTTCCGGCTGCTTCCTGCTAGAAATTACCAGGCTGATACTAGCGCTTAACTAGTGCGAGAATAAAGACACATGGGAACCGATGTACAGGCCCCATCCTTGAAACGAACTACTGCACTGCACTCTGCGTTGACGGACACTCCAGGCAACGTCTGTGGCTTCGTCTGCACAGACCCAGGCCCAAACGCAAGCTCCTAATCCCATAGCCAAAAACCACAGCTCTTGCAAAAGGCAAAAGGCAAAACCCCAAAAAGCTTGCAAAAACCCAGCCCTCACAGGTGACCTTGCGGGAGCTCTCCTCGGCCCTGAGAGCGTCTGCTCGTTGTCGGTTTGGGGCTTCAGTCGGTGATGCCAAACCGCTTGAAGCAA